TTGTTTACAATTGATATGCAACTATATAGGTTAGGTGAAACTATATAGTTTAAGGATGCCAAACATTTATATTGTTATGCATACACTTTACCGTATCATGGCTGCAATTGACTAATTTTTACAAAAAGTTTGGTTTCCATATTTAAAATTTAGGTTCAATGATGACTCTGTCTTAGTAGCCATTACGTGCATCATGGGTCTTCTATCATTAAAATTTAGGTTCAAATATTCATAATTAATTTTCAATATGTGTGTGTGTGAGAGATTTTCAATTATTTTAAAAATATATCAATTTTAATTTTCTTTTGTTATTATATATTCCATCCATTTAAAAATATAAAACATTTTTTTAGAGGTTGGATGTTAAAAAATGTAAGAAATTTTTGATCTTTTAAAGTATAATCATTGCCTTTTTTTTAAAAAGTATTCCTATTAAATAAATCACTTTATATTTATTTTAAGTTGAAACACCCTATTAAATAGGCATAAATAAGAAAAGATATGATTAATTTAAAGACATGTAACTACTTTATTGGGGGTAAGATTCAATTAAAAATACCTTACATTTTTCAATGGAGGGAGTATATAATTTCATTTTCATTGAGTATAAAAATAGAGTTATAGAATATATTGAGATTTTTAAACACGTCTACCTCTTTAAAATATTGATATGATTTTTTACTACTATCCATTATATTAAGTTTAGAAGACAACTTTTGAAGGAAAATAGAAATAAAAATTGAATTTTTATTAGTAAAGGGCTATGTAAAAAATAGGAAAAAGGGAGTCTGCTATTGATTAACAATGATGTATAAACTCTAACTTTATTTGATAAAAAAGTTTGTTGATCTAGGAAATGAGTTAACAAAAATCATATGCACTGCAAAACAAATTAACCATACCTTGAGTATTTCCACTATGTCTTCAAAAATGATAATGATAATTTTTTATGAAATTTCTTAGTCTCATCCTGTCCTATCCTAATTCCAAATAAGATGGGACGACTTTCTGAGCGAGATAGGATGGAACGCATGATGAAAATTTAAAAATTCTTTTTCATAATGGAACACAAAATAGGGTTGTTTCAATCCATCCCATAATCATTCCTACTATCCACTTAACTATTCATATCAATTAAATATCATAATTAACCTTGGCCTTTAATTTTTATTTTGCATATGAAATTGTGTTAAGAATGTTATCCCCAAAACCCCAATTGTCATCCAATTGTATGATATCTTTGTGCAAAATTTACTATTTAATGATTATTGGTGGCACCTTTTCCTCCCAACTCATTATTAATGTATTCAGTAGTATATAATTACATTTCTAAAATAGCGAATTTCAGGGACACCATTGATTATTCCTTCGTTGATTGGTCCTTTAATTTCTTTTTATTGATTTCTCCCTCAATTTGCAAGATTCCAAAAATAATCAACCATAATGCATGTATTAATTGATTTTAAATTATATCAATATTTTTAAGTAAATATTAATAAGATTAGACATAGATTTAAATTTTAATAAATTTAATGATTTTTTTGTGAATATAATGAAAATAAATTTTATTGATTTATCCTTATTTTACAAGGACAGAAAAATAATCAATACATAAAGAACAATCCTATTGATTTTAAGTTACATCAATATTTTTAAAAATAAATTTTGATAAGATTGGATCCAAATTTTTTACTAAGAAACTACACACACACATTTTAATGCATTGTTATATATATATATATATTCCTAAATATTAAGAAGACTCATATTATTATATTTCTATTATTTTTAATATGTAAATATATTGAAATAATATTGAAAATGTATTTTAATAATGATTTTAAAATTTTAAATCATATATTTTTTTTAAAAAAGATTAGGACAATAATTTTTTTTTTTTTGTTTAGGAAGGGACGTGACATTCCAACACTAAAAAAAGATAGAGTTAAAGAAATAGGCTAACTTACTAGTTGCTAGTTAGCTTGTGGCAAGGGACTAGAATTTTTTTACCTCATATTGCCAGAGGTGAGTTGGTGGGCCTACCTACTAGCCTGCCCTTTTTTGATTTCTTTATTTTTATTTTTTTAATTCATTTTTTTAAATAAATGAAATTTAATTTTTCTCTATAAATTAATCATCCAAATATTAATAAAATATTTTCTAAATCACAAAAACACTTTTTAAATTAATTTTATTCAATAAAATTATTTTTCTTGTTTTTAACTTGAACAATGTAGGATTTTTAAATAAAGTTAATCATTATTTATAAGGAAGACAGTGTTGGTTAAAAATATTATGCTAGTGACTTAAAAACATTTTATCATGTTAAAAAAAATATGGTTTTCATTCAAAGTTTCAAATAACAGTAATTTTCTCATTGTTATTATAATTTAGAAAATAGTAGATTGTATTAAAAAAATACATAGTGATTATTTATAAAAAGCGCATTTGAAAGAGGGAAGAAGGATAAGGTATTTAATTTTATGAATTTTGGGATAAGTGACAGAAGAAAGGAGGATTCGTGTGAGTAGATTGTAATTTAAAAAAATAAAGAAAAATGGGCCACCCTACAAGCTAGCAGGTTAGTCATGACGGGTTGAAAATGACCCACTTATAATTGAGCTCTTATTATACCCAACTTAATCTACCACTTTTTTGATGAGTTGACAAGCTCAACCCATATTACCAATTTTAAAAGAGGAAGCTTATTCTCAATTCAATCCTTATCTATTTTTATGATTGGATATGAATACAGTTGTCATAATCTCATTTCGTACTATCCACATCACTTTATATTAAGTAGGTATCATACTTAACTTTGACCTTTAATTTAAAAGGAAAAAAGTAAACATGATTACATTTTAATGTGTTTATATGTTATACTATAAATAGATTAGATAATGGTAAATGACAATTGATAATTTTTTTTATATGACTATTTGATTAGGTCATTTGAGCATTGTCAGGCCTAATTAAGGGTAACTCTCATAAAAAGTTTTCTACATTCATATAAATTTGAATTCAAAACTTGTACTTAAGTGGCAATATAACCCATTTCACTTGGACCAATTATTGACTAACTAACAAATTTTAATATCCCAATTATTTAATATATTTTCATAAAATTCATTATTTAATGATTATACGTATATAGAAAATATTGTACAATATCTAAATGTTTATTTAATATTAATTTATATAAAAATCAAGATGTACGGGCGTATTACTAGTTAAACTACTATTAAACAAGGGATTTAGATTCAGTGACTGCACTTAATACAGACATTGAATGCTTGTACCATCTGAATCATTAAAATTCAGATCAACGATTAGGATAAATTTACTCATTTATTAATATTAAATGGAGTATAAATTCATAACTATTGATCTGAATTTTAATGGTTGAGATGATACAGGTATTCAATGCCTGTATTAAGTACAATCACTGAATTCAAATCTATTAAAAAAGATAGCATCATCTAGAGATGAGGAATATGGCTTTGAGAGTTTAAAGAGCATTTAAGATTAAATGAAAAATCCAGCATCTTATATTTTATTTTTACTTAACTAAAATGGGTGCTTCATTTGGTAATAGAGAGGTAGCAAAGCTTCCCACTTTTGTCTCAACAGTCCAATTAAATGGACAATATTCAAGAAAAATCACAAATGGATGACACGTTATTTGCAAATAATGGACTTAGTTTCTTTTTTTAATATTTGCAAATTAGATAAAAAGTTCCTATAATTAAAATCAGAAAGACTATATGTTTATAATGATGGTGTTACATTTTTTAAAAAGTGACTTTTTTATGTAAAATAAAGTTTAGATAAATTTAGTTCAAAAACTCATCAAGGCGAGTGCATGCCTACAAACTCAAATAATACTTATAAAAGTATTTATAAATTGTCCGTCAATAAAATCTTTACATTGACAATGAAATTTAAACTCCTAACTTTATGAGTTATGGTCTAAATCATCACTAATTGGATCAAAAATAAAGTTCATTTTGAATGTTTGTGTGCAGTAGGAGGAAAAAACTTCTTACCCTCCTTTTTAATATCATAAGGCTTTTTCCCCCCTGAAATATCACATTTAAAGATACATATAAGATATGGTTAGTCTTTTGAGATGTAATTATAATATAAATTTTAAATTGAGAAAACTTGATAAATAAAAGTGAATAAATATGAAAAAAATGTATAATTTTACATGTTAATTACTAATAAATTATATTAATTAAAAATATCTTATAATATTGAATAGATGAGCACTTGATTTTAATTAAAAAAATAGGCACATGTCTAATTTAATTAACTTATTTTTTTAAGAAAAGATAGAAAAAAGAAGGATAGCACTGGCGGAGCCATGTTGATGTGACGGGAGCAAATGCACCCCCTCACATGAGGAAAATTACATATATAGTATGAAAAATTTATAATTTTATATCCTATATTTTTAGTATTTTAAACTCTTTAGACTCAATAAAAAATATTTGAGGGTCTCAAATTAAACTTTATATCAACATTCTCAACATATTTTTGGCAAAAAAAAATTTAATATATTTTGCCCAAATAAAATATGTATAATTTTATTTATGTTATTGTATTTTTTATCTAATGTAATTAAATTTAAAAATTAGAATATTTTTTTTAATTATTAATTTTTAAATTATATTGTTCTGCGTTTTCTGACTTAGGATCTTAGCTCCGTGAGGGATAGAAAAGGTAATGATTGATTTCATACGTAAAGTAGCATGGACATGCAAGAATTAATTGAGAAATTGAATGAGTATTGATTTGGCTTTTGTCAAAGGCCACCAGCAAGATGATGATGATGATGGTGTACATGTTAAGTATATTGTTTCTCCAATTAAGGCATATTGTTTTTCTTGCACCCTCAGATCTCAAGAGTTGTTTTGCACCAAAAGAAACACACTAAATTATATATATTCATTCTTTCAATCTGATCATTTCCACATCCATATATCAAACCAATCAAACCCTAAAAAGGAGGAGGAGGAAGAAGAAGAAGAAGAAGAAGAAGATAGTCCATGGATGCCAAGGCTGAATCAGGAGCATATAATGTTGTGTATGAAGATATTGAACCATTTTTTGAATGGCATTCAAACCATGATTCTCACGTCCTCGTTCTTTTGCTGCCAGGTACCTACAAATAATACATATGTTTTTTTTTTAATTATTTGTTACCTTTCTTTTTGGCTTACTAGAGTAAATTTTTTATAACAAATCTTGATTTTTGTCGGAATGAATTAAGTTGATATATTTAAAATTTATTTATCACATTATTATAATTATTTTTTCAGCATTTTCTATTTCTTTTCTTATTTTAGAAAATAAGAGTGTAATAAATATATTTCATTTTTCAAATTATTTTGTCTTATTATATTTTCTATTTTAATAAAAATTAATCATTTAATCCTTTTAATTTTAATTCAATTATCAAGTCTTATAGGTTTAACTCAATTACAATTCAGTTTTTATAATTTTAATAATTTAAAATATTAATCCTTTAATTTTTTCAAAATAACTTCCACACTTATAATTTTATTTTTCAAAACATATGAACCAATATGTTAATTAGTTAGAATTATAAAAATTACATTATACTATATCAAAATTATGATTAAAGTTCAAGAAAAAAATTAATTAAATCAAAATTAATAATAAGGATAAATCTAAAAAAATTAAGATAAAGTAATTAATTTTTCTTTTAATTTCTTTTTTTATACTAATTGATTCGCACTTTTATTCTTGAATTTTTCGTTAAGAACATCTAATATTTTAAATTATTTATTATAATAATTTCATCCTTAAAATAATTAAAATGTAACATATTTATTTTGAATATTAAATACATCAATGTTAAACATTAAAAATACTGATTAAGACTTAATTTTGATAAAAAAAAATCCAACCTACCATGACATATGGGTTCAAAAATATATTATATTTTAATTATTTTGAAGATAAAATTATTATATAATAAATAGTTTAAGGTGAAAGTTTGAAAATAAAAATATACTTTAATTCAAATTCAACTAGCATGATATGTGATATTTTTAATGAAATTTAAGTCACAAAATTTTTAATTCTCAAATGTTCAGGCATTTAATGTCAAGAATAAATATAGTATATTTAAATTATTTCGCACATCGAATGCTTCGGAGAATAGTCTAGGCCTAAAAATACATCTTTACTCTGGATTATTTACTAAACACGAGGACCCCAGAAAATCTTGAATTACTTTATGCGTTTAACATATTTTCTTTGAAACCAATTAAATTGACATTTGCTGATTTGGAAAAGCTTGAAGTTTGATCAAAATAATTTGAACACTTGAATAGGATTTAGAAGGGATCAATTGAAGATTCAAGTGACTTCGGCTCCGATCCTAAAGATAAGTGCTCAACGACAGATCGGCGGGAACAGATGGCGTCGTGTTTATAAAGAATTCTCAATTCCTTCTGATTGTAACTCAGACGAAATCGCCGCCAAGTTTGAAGCTGGCACTCTCAAGATCAATTTTCCCAGACTCATTTCTCCATCGTCTAAGTCCCCGGAAAGAGATGACGATGCTGAGAAAAATGGCGCTAAATTAGAGGATCCAGCAAAACTAAAGAGTGATGGTCAAGTCTCTGACGCAACCCAGAAAGTGGATGAACCAGCAAGAGATGATGATCTTACAAAGGAAAAGGGAAAAACTGATGATGGGGGTAGTGAGAAAAACACTGTTCGTCGTCAAGAGGATTTCACGAGTGCTGATGAAGTTTCTGGGAAAACCAAGCAGAAAGAAAAGGAAGCTGCAGCAGCAAGTGATGGTTTTGCAAAGGAAAAGGGAAAAATAAATAATGGGGTTCATGAGAAAAGTGTTGTTCATCAAGAGGGTCAAGAAAAAGCAAAGAGTGGTGATGAAGTTTCTGGGAAAACACCATCACGAAGAACCAATAATGTCCCGAGATTGAAGACTCGGCTTCTAGATTTCACTCTCAGTTTAAGGCCACCATCATCAGCTGCTGAACAGGAGGATTATTATAAGAAAGCAGTTGCTGATTTGGTGGCCAGGTTGAAGAAAATGAAGAATCTGATGAACTTGGTGGTTGCATTCTTGGTTGTGGCGTTTGTGCTATATGTTAAGAATGCATACAAGCCATCTCTTGAAGGATTATCAGAAGAACAAGAGTTGTGAACCCCTTCCTGATCATGCGTATGTATTTCATTTTCAACGTACACACAGCCAAACTCGTAGGCATACAAAAATGAATAAAACCAGTAAAAGAATAAGATGATTATTAAACAGCTTTAATTATTCAGCATTAAAAACTTTTGACAGTTGCATCTCAGCTCACTTTTACTTCTCTTCCCCAAATTTGTAACCTTAGACTTCCTCTTATTCTTATTATATGATACTTTCAATCATTTCACACATATTAAAAAAAATTATTTTTTTTTGATATCATAAAAAAGTGAGATATAGTTTCATTTTTACACTTGACTTTAAATAATAATACAACTACATTAAATACTTTTACGCTAATCAAAAAAGGGTAAAATTAAAAAAGTTGTTTAATTATTACAAAGTATCCTATATTTTAAATTAAAAATTATTTTTAAAATGTGTTTTATAAATAGAATTGGAAGGAACATTATATAAAATCAAGGAAGTGCAATCGGCTTCTTGTCTATAGTTTTAAATTTAATTGCTTTGCAGAAAGACATCGAAACAGAATCTTCCTTCCAGTGAGATGTGCCCAAATCGTTCATATACGGGAGATGAACCCGTTAGTGAAGGCCCAGTTTATGTCCTGAGATGTGAGACCAGAATCAGGATAACATGCAGAAAACATATTTACTTTTTGGCAGAAGGGAGGAAACCCCATGACCATGAGCAAAGCTCTGTCAATTTACTATTTTGCCTTCAAGCCTCCACACAGTCACACATATATCAGAAGGAGGAGAGCATTGAGGTTCTCTGTCACTTTGAATGGAGATGGACCTTACATTTATGACCTTGCATTGTTGAGCACATGGGTGTTCTAATGGTTCATCTCCCAAATATAACAAATATGTTTCTGCGCCTTTGTTTTTTATACTTGACTTGACCTCCTTAAAACCTAAAGACAAAATTTATTATAAGCGTGCTCAAACGTGATGTCTCTTCGGTAAGACCAAAGGCAATATATTGTGAAAATGACTCCTAAATTATTTACCAACAAATATCTATATATACTAAAATGCTTTAAAGTCTGTAAGAGTTGCACTCAGGGATACTTAACACCACTATTGTCCAAACAGAAAGAGAGTTAAAAAACCAACTGCGTCAACTCTAATAAATGGGAGTGAGGCCCTCCCAGGTAGTACTGGGGATTCTAATCCACAAACCGGTAGCTGAGTAGAAAATGGTCGCATAATGAGCTCTTGCCACCATTCATCAATTATCTTTTTCATCTGGGAATTCCAGACTCACAGCAATCCACCTGTTCTCCCTAATTGGCAGAAGAGTTATTCCCTCGGGGAGTGAAAGATCCGGGAAGCTTGTATAAACCCTGATTCTGTCATGAATCAGATAACTACTTGTTTCAGGAGTCTTTGCGTTGTTGAGCTCTGGAATCGAAAGGGCAGAGAGGTCAAGCTGTGAGGATTCTGGGGAGGATGGACACTCTTTCTCTGGGGATTCATGCACTGATTCAGAAGATGGTAAGCTCTTGATGCTCTTCATCATGTCTTCCTCAGATGGCTGTAGAAATGATGGATTGGAAATCTCATTGCTGACTTTAACCATACTGGGTAGCATCTCATCCAAGTTCTGTTCTTGAGCCTCTTCTGTTGAGACAGATTGCCATGCATGCAGCATGCATAAGCGGTTAGTGATATGCGACTGGCTGGAAAATGAAAGAAGAATCACAAATTCTCCGAGTATTAAATTTATCAGTGATGACGGGTAACCATTTCTTTAAAGAAACTATATCCCTAAGGCAACTGATATAAGAAATGTTGATACTAACAAGCTAGGAACTGCTATAGGATAAAATCTCTAAGGATCAAATGTCTTTATTGAACAGATCCAATGATCTGACCACAAAATCCACAATTTTTATAGAAAAACTGGAAGTTGGGGTTGTAAATTTCTTGTGCATCTGCTGTTAGTGCTGAACAATTTGGTATTGGAGGAATCTAAAGGATTTTGTAAGAGAACAAAGCATACGTCACATCATTATATGGAAGAATTGGACAAAAGAGTAAATGGCAAAGGGAAACAGAAGGCACATAAAATCCAAGTCCACAAAGATAGGAATCCAGTCAATCCGATTGTGATTTTGAGCATTAGATCTCAAAAGGGTTCTTATCTCATGCCTTACTGTAAAATAAAAGATATGCAACACTGAAGCAGAATCGACCTACTTTCTTTAAGCGCAGTGTAAGCAACCTTGGCAGCATCCTGTTCTGCCTGTTTCTTGGATTTCCTCGCCTCACCATGAAAGTCCTTACCTTCTACCTCTACAATAGAGATGAAAGTTGGCATGCGAACTGTGCCAGACTTTATGGTTTTATATGTTGGTATGCAAAAGCCTGCCCTCAGAGCTAACTCTTGCAGTAAATTCTTGTAGAGACCAGAGTCACCCTGGATAAGGATACAAATCCAGATTCAATCATAATGAACTTTGATTACAGATCAACCACCTAAACTTTTTGGACGTTCATATATTATTACTACAGGTAAATTAGTTAACCATGTAAAAAAAACAAAATTTATTTCGAATTGAACTTCTTACAATGGATTGCTATAAATCTATCAAGAGAGAATACTATTTTAAATTTCCATGCAGAAAAAGTTGTACACAAAGACATTTTTTGAAGGACAGTATATAGTCCCATGATCTTAGTTTGGCCTTTCTGCTTGACCTTCAAGCTATGCTTTATTTGTATTAATAATGATAGAAGTTTATTTATTCAATAAACGTATTGATGGCCTTACATTTGATTCCTTTTTCTCTAATACTTTGAAGCCCTCCAAAAAGTGACAATACTGTCCCCCAACATCTTACATCTATATAACTATTTGATGTTCACAAAGCACCCAAAATGAGTTTGATTAGAGCCATGGCAGAAATTATAACAATTCTTGCCTTCTGAGGGCTGTCAAGTGACAGCGACATCAAAGAAACCTTTTCAGCAGCCTGCTCTGCCTCCTTCGAAGTGCTGAAAATTGCTGGCCTCTCATAACGTTGATCATCAACTGAGCTTGTAGCGTTCATGCAAGGAATATGAGGGAGGCCGCTACTTTCAATGGTAAAAGCAGTTGAATCAAAACTTTTCCTTTGATCATAGTTCCGCAGCTGGCTTTTACGCAGTTGATTCAAATCTGTAAGAATGATTAGGTTGATACATATATATAAATGTTGAAATGGAAAATAATCGCTTAGAAACCGGGGGAAAGGCCAATGAAAATTTTAAAGCAGCCCTGCCAAAAACTTGGACGATCTAGAATGTGTTTTGAATAAAATGATCAATTCTGCTGGCTGTACAAGAATGTAAAAAATTACTTGGTTAATTTGCATACATGTTATTTAGTACTATATATGTAGAAGTGAGACCTCAAAAGTTAATGCCTTGAGAAACAGAAAGATACAATAATAACAGAGTAAACGAACTATACCAATCAAACAATTAGGAAACAAAAATATAATCAGAATTGAAAGTGAAATCCATACAAGAAATCAACAGAGGTTCCATTGCATCGCAAGAAGAAAATCTTCATTGCAGGGACGGCATTTGACTAAAAGATATAGGGAGTACCTGTAGCAGGTGAAGGCGATGGCGGATCAGAAGAAGTGAAATGGAGAAAAGCGAGCATGGCAGCTTCGTTTTGAGCAAGTTTGGAAGAAGAGCGGGGTACGAGAGAGTCAAAGGTAAGGCCATTGACAGAGACTGAAGCTTTGAAGCTAGGGATGTGATCAGGACCGTCTTTCATGGCGGAGTACCTGGGCAAAACCCACCGTTTCTGGTGGCAAAGCTCCTGCAGCTTCGTCTTGTACATTTTGATTGAGCTTTTTAACTAATTCACTCACAGTCACGGAACAAAACGGCACAACAGAACCCCACACACACAGTCTCTTCCTCACTCCGTATCTGTGAATTTATTGAGACTTCAGAGTGAAAGAGGCAACGAAGCGAACCTGAGAAAGAAAGAAAAATGCGAGTGTCAGGGAAATACTTTCCGCGTGAACGAGAAGGACAACTTCGTTTTCTTTGTACAATGGCCTACATGCATGCGTTTAAATGTTTTTTTTTTTTAAAAACAAAAAAACAAAATACAAAAACATATAAATATTTTTAATTAAAAAAATGCACACAAAACATAACTGTGTTGGAAGTAAATGAATCTCCTGAACTTATAAATCTTACTTTTCTTATAAGGCTTCTGCTGTTAGATTCGTGACTGTGTTTAATTTGGAGTAAAAGGGAAGGCTGATGGATCAGTGTGCATTGAAACGCGGAACAAACCGCTCTGAATCTCTCTCTATGTGTAAATGCAATGCAATTTTAGACGACTTTCTTATAAAAGGTAATCAAACCAACGGTGCTAAGAGCTAAAATGCTAAATAAACAATGAAATAAGGGAAGAATCACTGAATTAGTGATCGATGCAACACGAGATATCATTAGCTTTAAGCGTGTAATCAGAAATAGCAAGAACACAGACTTATTTGTATACTACATTTGCAAAATGCAAAAGCAAAAATTTCTTCCTTCCACAAGATAACTTTTACTTTTGACAAACAAATTTTTAAAACCAAAAGTGTTTTTAAAAATCAAACGTGTCCTAACAAATAGAAAGGAGTGGTGAAGAGTGAGGAAGTGTGTAGAAGAATAAAAAAGTCTCCCGAGTGAAGAAGTATATTATATTTTGAGTGTGTAATTTTTTTTTAATCTAGGTCCTTCTCATTTCTTTTGTGTTTTGCATATTTTCCATGAATAAATTCAATATATTATTTTAGTATAAATTTTTTTTTATATTATCCTGAAAGTGTCATCAATGATATTTTTTTTTAAATGAACTATTATTTGGGTATATTTTTAAGCTAGTAATAATTATAATTAATTAATTTTTATTTATTTTAAAAGATAAACGTGTAACGTGTTGGGAGAGAGGGGCATACACTAAATAAAAATGTAAATATTTCAATATTTTTTAAATATAAAGTTTGATATTTGAAAGTAAATTTTAAAAATATTAAAATACTAAATTCGCATCAAATAAATTTGAAAGATAAAAATGAACGGTGAGAAGAAAAGAAACAGAAAATGCATATGTTTCGGCCGAGAATATTTCTTTAGAAAAGGACTGTTTAAGACTAAAAGTGCGCTAGCGTACCGTTATATTTGAGCGATTCAAACGACGACACTTGCTAAAGGCTCGTGGCTGAAGAAGAACGATGCTAAATAAAACTTGAACAGGGGCGTGCCGATGGAGACGCACAAGAATGACATCGGTGTATGTGTGATTTGCTATGGCGACCGAGAAACCAATCGATTGCAATCCATCGTCTTCTCCTTCACAAGACCGTCCCGTTCGCGTGTACGCCGATGGCATCTACGACCTTTTCCACTTCGGCCATGCCCGTTCCCTCGAGCAAGCCAAGATATCGTACACATCTATCTTAAACGTGTAGCTTCAGTAATGAGCGCAAAACTATTGACACATCCTTCGTGAGAAAAGTTAATGATGAATTTTCTCATGTGATTGGTTAAAATTAAAATGATATTACTGGTATTCAGAGCAAGTCCAAGACAATATAAACAAATTAGAGATGAATTGATACAGTACTGATAATATATTTATTTAGATGGCTGAGAAAGTTGAAGTGCTTCTGAAAAGGGAATATTTTCTCCAAGATTAAGTAAAATTATCCTTATGATGTTCTTTTCGTCTTTAACTGTCAGTTCATGATTTTGCCAATAAATAAGTTCGGAATCATGAAATTCGTCTTCATTGTTTGGCTAACTCATGGATCTTTAACACAAATTTTAGGTTTCCAAATACCTACTTGCTTGTTGGATGTTGCAACGATGAAGTCACCCATAAATACAAGGGAAAAACTGTTATGACAGAGGCTGAACGTTATGAATCGCTTCGGCACTGCAAGTATGACACTTATGTCAACTTTCTAAACAGTTTTTTTTTTCTTTTGTTAAAAGACACTTTTTTTTACATTAATCATTGATGTATAGGATGTTTATTTGAATAAAGAGCTCTTTGGAAATATTTTTGGTGAGAATATTGCATTGTGGTTTAATTTTTGTTGTTTCCAATCATGCATGCAGAGTTATATATAGGAGTTATGACTTACCATAACTTTTAGAATTAACTTTGAGCAGGTGGGTGGATGAAGTCATTCCAGATGCACCATGGGTTATGACCCAAGAATTTATTGACAAGCACAAAATCGACTATGTGGCTCATGATGCTCTTCCGTAAGAAAATTCCCTGCCTATTCTCTTTAATTCTTATGCGTATATTGGATTTGCAATGATCATAATATTTAACTTTTATGTGCATTGGTGGATTAATGTTTGAAGCTTTTGAATGCATGGCATAATCTTTTGCACTTGCTGATGAATTGTTCACAGCTATGCTGATGTCAGTGGGGCTGGGAACGATGTTTATGAATATGTATGTGCAAGAAAAAGTTATTTCTGCCTTGTCTGTTTATTTTGATATAAGTTTCTGTTTACAGGTATAATTTATGTGAATCAATTTTTGTTTGCAGGTTAAATCCATCGGGAAATTTAAAGAAACAAAACGTACGGAGGGAATATCTACATCAGATATTATAATGAGAATTGTCAAAGATTATAACAACTATGTTTTGCGTAACTTGGATCGTGGGTACTCAAGGAAGGACCTCGGTGTGAGCTATGTGAAGGCATGGACGGGCATAATTTTTTTTGTCAAATGCTTATTTTGTTATTATTGTTGTATAAATGAATTGATTGTCCTTTTTTCTGGTAAAAAATTAATTATTTTTATTTAAATCATTCTCACATCTATTGAAGGATCTTAATTGTTGTGCTTGTGTTCATTTCAACAGGAAAAGCGATTGAGGGTGAATAGGAGGCTTAAGAACCTTCAAGAGAAAGTAAAGGAACAGCAAGAAAAAGTTGGTGAAAAGGTATATATATCAATTCAATCATTAACCCATGGCATCAAATCAACTAATGAGTTGAAATAGTACTTTAAAGCATGGTCATGTGGAATTAATGAGATGGAATGATTGTGAGATGAAAGGCAATAAGTAATAAATCTTATGCCTGCATGTGATGAAGATTACTGAAAACTGAGTACTCTGGATTTTGCCATCTATAGTGGTCTTCGAAATTGAGCATTATAGGAATCTCTGTAGCATGTTCAGCATTGCTGGACTGATATAAATACAAACTACAACGTCTTATAGATCCAAAGTGTTGCGAAGACTGCGACGATGCATAGATATGAGTGGTTGGAAGATGCTGATCGCTGGGTTGCTGGATTTCTGGAGAGGTTTGAAGAAGGTTGCTACAAGATGGTGAGTTAATTTACGCAAACAAAGAATGTTATGTTACTCTTGATATGCATGCGCAGGCTAAAGGGTAACCTTTCACTCCTTTTTCTTTTTCTTATTTTTTGTTATGAATTGGGTCCATATCAGGGCACAGCAATCAGGGATCAAATTCAAGAGAGGTTAAGTGGTCAACAACCACGGGACAGCTCACCTCTGCAGCAAAGTGGGAAAACTGATGATGAGGACGGTGAAGAGTGTTATTATGATGATTATGGTGAAGAGTTTTGTTTTGCTGATGATGGTGAAGAGTATTATTATGAAGGAGGGGATGACAGTGATGAAGAATATTTTGTTGAGAGTTGCTATACTAGCGATGAAGAATATTATGTTGAAAGTTGCGATGAAGAGTACCTTAATAACGTGAAAGACGAAAAAGAAAAGTAGGTTTACTGTGATGAAACTGTTGAATCCATGTCAAAATGTGCACTGATGGATGATGATGCAACATATTTTAACAGAGTAGTATTTAGTTATTATCATTTTATCCACAAGAAACTGAAGCATGTAAATTGTTGGTGGTATTTTTGTGCAGAATCATGGGTCAAGAGCATCTGCATTGAACTTGTGGTCGTGAGTACTCTCGTGGTTAGTGAGTTAGGATGGCGAAAATACCGCGGATTTTTGTCATAGATCACTTGATGTTGCTCATCAACATCTGAAGGGTCTGAATTTCTCTAGACTCAGCTTTTTATAAATATTATGTTGCTAGTTTTAAAGTAACTGCGTGTGTTGATCTTTTCTTTTTGTTTTCCCCTCTTTTAAAAATCATTACGGAAGGAGCTCGGATGGTTATATTTGTAGGTTTGTTAGCTAGGCTTCGAACTCTCATGTGCATTTGCCTCTGACCGTTAACAAATTGAAATTTCCACGCTTATAAGATCTTTCAAGCAATTTGTTATTATTAGGCTTCGAACTCTTTCTGTTCCATCGCAATTTCTATCTTTTAGAAACCAGTTGTGTTATCATGTTGTTTAATAATAGACCTTATTTCTTAGATTGCATTAAAGATAATGAGAAATCAAGTATTTTGAATTATAATGGCATAGTATTTTCAAGAATGCATCCCATTCTGCAGAGTTTGTATTATACTAGAGATTATGTAGGTTTCAATTTGAAATCGAAAAATTCAGAAGCATGTGCATCAATAAATCACGGAATCGAAATTAGCTTTCTCATTCTCATGGAATCTCTCAAAAATTTAAAGGATAAGGAAGTAGGATCCAAATTTCAATTTGTTGTGGAATCAGATCGTTCAAGCTCATAAATGAAAATAGTGCCTACTCCCTCTCATGTGCATTTGCCTCTGACCGTTAACTTAATCACACGCTTATAAATTTTCTACGTATCGCCACGCATTGGGTGGGTGGATTTGCTCCGGGCATGGAATCCAAATCCTGAAAGGGGCTGGAATGGACTTTGAAAGTTCTTATGAGAATAATAAATAAACTGTATGTAATATTCAAAGTTTACTATTTATATCTCAGATTTCCGAAACAACACAGCTTAAAATAAGCATGATTAGTGTGATAAACTGAACAAATTACCCACCCAGACCAGAAAGAAAGAATCGATAAACTGAAGATTGTGTGCGAGCGCGTGTATCATCACACATTGTCAAGATGAATATATGCATGATACACACAGAACCAATCACCCCAACCCACTGCAAAGAAGGGGGGGAAAAAAGGAAGAGATAAACTGAATGCAAAAATAATAGTGATCATTTTTATTTTTGGGTCCAGCATCGCGGACGACGTCCCGATAAATCAAATATTATTTGTTGTTTATATTTCGTCATCGTAGAGATCTGGAAGCTGGGGCTTGGTTGGTCCCTGGATCAAACGCTGCTGCTTTATTTGACTGATCTTGCGATGATCATCTTCAGTCAAGGACCAGTCGAAGATGTGGAGGTTCTGCTTCATTCTATCTTTGTTGTAGCTCTTTGGCACGAACGTCACTCCTTGCTCGCAGAGCCATCTCAGGCAAACCTGAGCGCTGGACTTGCCCCTCTCTTCTGCTATCTCCTTCACCACATCGCTCTCCATCGCCTCGTTCGGTCCCCTGCTCGCTCCCTTCCTCAGCGGCGAAAACGCCGTCATCACTATCCCTTTCTCCCTGCAGTATCCCAGAAGCTTCTTCTGCTGCCACGCCAGGTTCATCTCCACCTGATTCACTGCGGGAGGAATGGTGGCGAACGACAGCAGATCTTGGAGCTTCTTGACGGAGAAGTTGCTGACTCCGATGGCCCTGGCAAGGCCGAGTCTCTGGCACTCTTCGATGGCGGCCCACACGCCCTTCAAATCCAGAGGCACCACGTCTTCTGCCTCTATGGGGAACGCGAACTTGCCGGGCTTCGCAGCGATGGGCCAGTGAATCAGATACAGGTCCAAGTACTCCAGCTGAAGAGTCCTGCACCACATAACCACCAAACATGATCATCAACAGTCCAACTCTCGTAAACAAAATATTTCATTGAACCATTTAGGACACTGGTTAAGTAATTTATGATTCAACTTGTCCTGACCAGGTTTTCAATACTATAGTTAATAGAGTAATCCTGAATTCAGACCTGAGAGAGTTGTGGAGGGCAGGAAGAACGAGGTGAGGGTGGTTGTTGGTGCACCAGAGCTTGGAGGTGACGAAGAGGTGTTGTCGGGAGGGGACGAGGCCGAGCTGCAGAGCCTCTTTAATGGCTTCTCCGAGAGCAGCTTCAGAGCCATAAGCAGAGGCAGTATCGAAGTGGCGATAGCCCTGCCTTATGGCTTCGATGATGGCTTCCTTTGTGTCGGCCTTGCAGGTGAAGTCTGGTGCAGACCCCATTCCTATCACCGGCATCTTCACTTCCCCAGAGGACGATCCTAAAACCACTGAAGGAATCTCAGAAACTGCCATACTTAGCTGCTAAACCCTAAAAGTTTTATGAAGATGGCAGAAATTTGAAGGTAAGCTATGGCTCGCTAGTAAGCTTTATGCTTCTGGTGAGTAGTGTGGGTGAGAGAGTTCATGCATGTCCTTTTTATAGTTGGGCTCTTGCGATCGTCGCGTGTTGTGAAATACTGTCCTGGTTTGAAAAGTTGTTATTTTCTGTTTCATCGTAACTAGGTTGGTGGCCTTTGGAATTTAATATTACTTTCTATTTATTATAATATAAGACAGTTTTTAAAAATATTATTTAATCTAAGATATATAAGATATTTTTTAAAAAATATCATCTAATTTAAAATATAGGGTATTAGCCATTTTTTCAATTATACTTTTATTTTATTTATTATTTTTTAAAAAAATCATACATTAAAATATTAATTATTATTATTAAGGCTTTTATAAGTGTATAAATAAAAAAATATTTTTAAAAATTTAAAATTTTAATTAATGTTATTAATAAATCATGAATTAGTTTATTATAAATATAATAAACTAATATTTAGAGTAATTTCTTTTTATGAGTGGTCATTTCATTCCATTTTTTCAATGTACACATATGGTCTACAAAAATTAAACCACAGACTCACATTTATATATAATACATCTTTTTTTTTGTATTGTAGTTAATATTAAATTTATCTGGTCAAATGAACTATGCAATTTGCAGAAGTACTTAGAGAAAAATAATACTCTCCCTGTCCTATTTATAAAAAACATCATCCAAAATATAAAATATTTTATAATAATTAAATCACTTTTTTTAAATTTTACCTTTTTTTAACATGAATATATTTAAGATAGTTGTATCATTGTTTAAAGTTAAAAATAAAAACAAAAATATATTTCATTAGTTTATGATGTTAAGATTTCTTAACATAATTTTTCTTAAGAAAAATATATAATTTTTTTAAAATATATAAAACGATTGAAAATGTGTTATAATAATTAACAAGAATTGAAGCAGAGTATATATTGCATTCTTTCTTTTCCTTCTTCTCTTTTCTTTCTAATTTTTTTTAAAAAGAGAAATTACATAAGTTGAATCCAAGAGAATTAAAATGTTAAGTAATATTAAAAAATTGAAATAAAAATTAACTTATTTTATTTCAAATTTTGATGCCTCTGAATCTATAAAAAGTTCAGTCACCCTCTGATTTATTTGATCAATTTTATATATAAAGCTTAACAACTCACGCTCAACCAGTGTTGTTACCTAGCTTATTATGATATCATATAATTATATTGTCCCTAATATTAACGAGTGCATTAAAAATTGTGCGTATCAAAAACCTATAATACTTTACTAATCTTTCCATTTCCTTTCCTTTCTATTTCATCTTCACTTTTCATCTTAATTGTTGAATCTATTTTTAAATAGTTAGAATTTAATATTTTACAAAATTATTATTATATTTATTTTTTATAAAATTTTATATTTTAATAATAATTTTTTGAAACATTAAATTTTAACCACTGATGAATAAATCTAATGATTGAAATGGGAAATAGAGAAAAAATGGAGAGGAAGCGGATCCAACAAAAATATGTTAATTACTCTCTCTATTTAAAAATATAAGACATTTTTTAAAGAATTGAATGTTCAAAAATATAAAATATTTTTAATTTTTTGAGATGTAATTATTACTTTTTTTAAAATGCTTTTATTGATAATAACTTTATATTTATTATAAAATATTTAATAAAAGTAAATATAAAAAAATAAAATTAATTTAAAAGTAAATAATTATTTTATTAAAATAAAATTTGATTAAAAATATATTATTAGAGGGAGTATTATTGTTTTTTTTGGCCAAACATATGTTAATTACTTTAGTCAACATGTACAGTCCAAGAAGAACGCGAAGAGGTTTTATTATATATTTTTAACATGTAGGACCCACAACTGATGTGAAGTAAGAGAAAGACACTTTCTCAGTCTTTCTCTGTCGTCAAGCCGCCTGGCAGCCATAATTAAAGGAAAAAAAAAAAAAAAAGACTGGAGTTGTTATATTTTAAAAAGTTTGATTGCAGGGAGAATGACTTTAAAATCACAAAACAATAAATATACAACTATTAGCTCCTCAATAAAATTTATAAAAAATTAAATTATAAATATTATTTTAAATATATATAAATTTAAAAATTTTAATTATAAATAAAATATTTAAATTTTAAATATAACTATTAAATTGTAATTTAAATTTTTATTTACAATTATTTAGATTAATATTTATAATTTTTAAAAAAAAAATTGTGAGGAACTTAACTATCACAAATTTATTATTTTAAAATTATGTTTATCATTTTTTTAATTATATATACTAACATAAAAATTAAGGACTGTCGTATGATGAGACAGCTCGATTAATGTGACATTTTCTTCTTAATTTCACTTAAGTGAATCGTTTTTCTGGGAATTTTTCACCCCAAAAAAAAAAAATTAATGAAATCTAACATGCTAGACTTGAGAGTCCCCGCCTACGGTTTCTAAATTACTTTAAACTCTACTTGTTTTATTTTTTAAGGTGTATAATTTACTCTAAACATTAAACATTAAACAATAAAACATATAAAAGGGTTTAACTTCTGGACAAGCTATAGATATAGCTAGATTAGATAGATACTCATCACAAATTAACATTATCGTGAAGGTGACTTTTTTCTTTCACTTTTATATTGTCATGATTTGAAGAATATTTTAATAATACAGTATTTAAATAAGTATATAACTATTTGTTAGTGCCAAACAATATTGACTCTCATTATTTTTCTGTTTACGCACGCAACAACCCC